ACATTCACTCATGTTCTAACCTGATGGAACCTTCCCCAAATTTAGGAAATTGTGAAATATTAAAACCCATGCTTTAAACCAGTGCATCAACTATCTCGCTAGCCACTACTTTAGAAATCCTAGGATGAAGTCTGATGCTGATCTAGGCACTGGTCAGTCTATTACTGGAACAATTTGCTCAGTATAATTGTAATTTTGAGTTTCTCCTTCTCTTCAATTTCCTGATCTATAGCTAATTCTGGGGCATTACTTATATCCTCTATGGTGAAGACCAACACAAAATAGCTGCCAATTCATCTGCCATCTCTGTATTTTCACTTATTAATCATCCCAATTCCCTTTCAATAGGACCAATTCTCACTTTTGTAACTGATTTTCTTTTTAAAAATCTATAAAAGACCTTACTAGCTGTTTTTGCATTTCTGGATAGCTTTCTCTCGTACAATAATTGCTCCTTCATTTTTGTTAATATTTGTTTTTTTTGAAATTCTATACAATCTTCTGACCTTCTACTTACCTTTGCATAATAATATGTTTTTTCCCCCCCACGTTTGATGCTATCTTTAGCATCTCTAATTAACTACAGGTGGTGGGTGCTCTCTCAATTTTTTTTCTCCATTAGAATGCACCAATTTTGTATTTCCTGAAATAAATGTTTCCCACTGCGTGTCAATTGATCAATCCCTTAGCCTTGTGGTTGAAACATAACTGGCCTCCGAAATGGACTAGCAATGCATTCAGTGCAAATGGAATTAGAAAGGAGCAACAAATGCCAGGTTTGTCAGCAACTATCACATCTTGAAAGAATTCAAAGCTCAGTGGGCAACGGTGCCAAAATCACAGAGTAGCTGGTATGGAGAAAGAAAAATCTTAGTGTTGTGGATAAGTTGTCACAGATGTATAAATCACATGCTTTTCCTATACAATGTGGCAACTGCTTCAGTTGAAACCATTTCCAAAGTAACCTGAGGATAGAAATTTACGTAACTGGCAAAAGATCCAGAGAAGAGATGAGGTGACTTCTTTCAAGAATGCACCAAGTTGTTATCTGTAATGCAGTGCTTGAAAGGGTGGTGGTAATTTCAAAAGGAAGTTGCTTAAAAAAGTTAGAACTTACAAGGTTATGGAGACAGGGCAGGGAGACAGACTAAGCAGGTAGTTTCATTCTAAGAGCTGAGACAATGGAGGTTACAGTTCCATGGACAAATGCATTTAATATCCACGTGACAAGATGGATAACATATTCAGTGATATCTTAGCATTTGTGCTATGATGATCCAGGTTATTACAATGAGGTAATCAGCTTTAACTTTTTTTTGCAAAAAGTCATTGCAAAAGCTTCTAAAACATGGAAATATACAGAAATTGAAGTGTGTACTGTTCACTAGTGTGCGACTCACCACCAGCCAGCCACTGCTGGCAATGTCAACATCAGTGGCAGAGCGGTGTACCTTAGTCTGCTTGCCATGTTCGGTGTAGACTTCAGAGTCTGAAGTGTAGCCACGATCTGAACTAACTTCGTTGGCATGGTAAGATACAATTTCACTATCAGATTGTGCACCTGTAAAGAAACACAATAGCATCAATCAGCAGAAGTGTTGAAAGTTTATGCTGAGTATTGATGTATTTTCTCTTTGATGGCAGAGGAAAGAAGAACACTAAGAAAGAATCTGTTTTTGTTTTACAGCAGTCGACAGCTGAACCGCATTGCATTTCACCAATAAGATGCACGTCCCAAATCAGTGATTTCTGGATCTTGCTGTTCACATGGTCTAAATTTAAAGAAACATTACCATATAAAGGCTTTGAAAAGCCTGTCCTTTCACCACTACCAGGTGAGAATCTCAAGTCAGATTCTGTCATTTTTAATAATATTCTAACCTCCATTTTCCTTGTCTGGTCATCAATACTCTGCTATTGGCCATTCAGACTCAATGTTCTGGAAATACAAAACCCCTGTGTTCATCTCACTCCTCCTTCAAAACCCTCTTTAAAACTGACATTTTTGACCATGCTGTGTTACCTTTTTTGGTTCAATAGTCATGTTCATATGATAACTCTCCTGTGAAACACATTGCTTTAGTTTTAGTTCAATGTTCATATGAAGGCAAGTTGTCAATGACATTGTCAAGTCCTGTAAATTGATGGAGAGAAACAGCTTACATGCAACTCCGCATGAAACAGGCCTCTCAGCTCAGTCTGCATATAAGCAGAAAAGAACATTTTCCCTATTTCTCTAAAACAAGAGCACAGCATCATGTTTCAATAATCTCAGATTAATGCTATTAGCACAAGGTCAGCTCAAGTACAAGACTCAACCAATAAATCTGCATGGTTTGTCTTTAACCCAAGGGTCCAGGTGTTCAGGCTGCAGAAACTAAGGTCAATAAAGGCTGAATTCTTGTCATTTACTCTTTAGAAGTTGGATTGAGGCTGACTGAATCTTAGCTGACCTCAAATGTACAAATCTACAGATCAGGCAGTTTCACAGAATTAATGCACTGATTTTCCAACATGCCTAACCGAGAAAGGAAACTTTATTGCTTCGCTGTAACATTTATTTTGATTTATTGAATATGTTTGAAAGCCACACCTCCGTTATGGACCTACATCAAATCAGTTAGGAGTATTCTAGATAAGGTGTTCACTTTCTATACATAGGAGAAGTTCGAACACTTAGTAATGCTGAGTGAACCTTGACCCAGAGACTCGAAAGTAGATCTTCTGTACAGTAACATGTAGCTTGAGACTTACAACAAGAAAGCAGTAGTCGGGGAAATTGTACTTTTCAAAAATAAAACATGAGCAACTCTATAGGAAGGTTTTTTAATAAAACAAGCAAAATCTGTATATCTAAGAAGGAAAATGTCTTTCTCAGGTGTTCTAAGCTTCAAACGTTTAACAGACATTTTCCATTAACTGCAAAATATCAGCAATATTCTCACAGAAGAGCACAAATCATAATGTTTAATTGCCATTTTTGCTATCACTAAGTGGATAAAGGATTATTACAAAACACAGCTCTAGTTTCCTTCTTCAAATCACTCAATGAAAACATCACTTGCCTTTTAAATTTAATTATCTTTCTTGGCATTAATGTTATAACTTACTTATTGATCATTAGATCTGCCATTATCGACACTTATAAGCTCAGGTCAAATTCAGCATTTGGACCAATCAGCATTAATTGAGTCCTTTCTAAATCAAAGTGGTCTTACAAAATATAGTAAGTGAGATGATTCTTAAGCCTCTATTTACAATTAAAAGTAGTTGAAGCACAGGTGTTTACCATTCTCCTTATGTTCTTGTTTTTTGCCTTTACTAGTGCTTCTGCTGTTTTTAAACAACTGAAACGAAGCAAACACCAGCTGCTTATCAGCAGGCGAAGCTTCTCCTTGTAACAACACTGAGGCTTCTTAGTAACTGAGTTATTCTGTAAACCTAACCTGCGTCATGGCTATCGACTCCCGACGTTATCTGTAGAGCAGGTGGAGGTTTGACTCCTGCTCCAATGCACTCCAAGAGAGTAAACAAGGTGCACCAATCATCACTAGAGTGAATATTAGCAGCATTGGTCTTCAACAGCTCGTGTAGGCCATATGCAATTTGTCGGCTCACTCTTGACAAGACAGTTGGCTTCATCATGAGGAGAACTCGCAAGGACAGCAACACCTGAAAAATTAATGACAATATTCTATACAAAAACTCATTCAACTTATTTTATTCTGGTTTTTGAACCTTGATTAAAACTGGTGCGAGATAACACATCATGGGAGCACAAAAAAAAAATCACAGAAATGCCACAGAAACAGTTAATTGGACTCTTCATTCCTTCTATGAGTCTCATTGAATTCTGTTGAGTATTTGTGACACAAGAGAACTAAATAAAGTTTTATTTCAAAAAAAGCAATAGATTTACTCAAACAATTTGTGTACTCTCTATTTTATAAAGTCTCTGTAAAATCAAATTATCAACTTCCCGTTTGCATTGGAATACTGACAATGTATTTGCAATCTTGTGACTGAGGGATTCTGTTTGGATAGAGTAAGATGTGTTTTACTAGACATCTAAATCTGCTGAGTTTCATACCTACTGCTCAAATTTTTAAAACATTTTCATTCATGGGATGTGGGCGTTATTGGTTAGGCCGGTATTTATTGCCCATCCCTAATTGCCCTCGAGAAGGTGATGGTTAGATGCCTACTTGAACCACTGCAGTCTTTTTGATACAAGGGCACCCAAAATATTGTTTGGAAAGGACTTCCAGGATTTTAAGCAGAGACACTAAAGGAACAGTAATAGATTTCCAAATCAGAAGGCTTGGAGGAGAACTTGCAGATGGTACTGTTTCTACATATCTGCCCTTGTCCTTCCAGATGCTAGTGTTCACGGATTTGGAAGGTGTAAAGGAGCATTGGTGAATTGCTACAGAGCATCTTCTAGATGGTACACACTGTTGCTACTTGTGGATCAGTGGTGGAGGGTGTCAATGGTTGTGGATGTGTTACTAATTAGTTGTACAGTACCAGTCTGCACCACAAACATCACAAAATACTCCACATTATCTTTGTGTCAGTTTAAAAGAAAAACTCCCATTGACATCACTGAATTTTCCTAAATATTCATCAGGTTGCCCCATGATCTTTTCCTTTTCTTACAGGTTAGATCAAGAAGCTGCAGAAAATATCTTAATCTGTCCAAAAATGATTCTTTCTGCATCAACATGGAGTTGCAGAGAATTGAGAAAGCCAAAAAGATGGTTTTATGTGAATGCTCATTGTAGAGTTGCTATTCCAATTATTCAATTTCCATTTGGAACAATCTAGTTAAGTTAAACCTAAGAGAAATAATACAAAAACTATATAACTTATTGGCTAGACAGCCATTTCGCCACATTATTTGGGGAAGGATGTCAAGATCATGGGAAGACCAGACAATGGAAGTTTTATGAGAATGAAAGTTTTAGTTAATAGCTCTCTGCAGTAGAATAGGGGAGGTTAGGTTAGACTGCTCAAAATTATGATGGGTTCGGGGAAAGTAAATAAGAAAAAAAATTGTTTTACAAGACAAGAGGATAAAATACCTTGAAAATTAAATGAAGAAAGGTTATGGGAAAAGGGATGGGAATACGATTAAGCTCTCTTCAGACAGCGCATTTGCTATGGACCAAACAGCTCTAATATTCTGACTCTATTGGCCCAGTTTTAATTCTACAAGCAAAATGGTTTTGAGCAAGTTACAATCTCACCCCCAAGTTGCAAAGTTAAATTTAAACATCCAATTAATGCTCATTAATATAAAGCTGGGTTAACAAGCTGAAGTTAGAAAAGAAAGAATAATTGAAAGCTTTGTTATTAGAAGTTCAGTTGCAGTTTTTCTCAATACCTGTGGACTGATCTCCTCTCTGCGCAGTAACCGTATTGCCAGGCGGAGAAGACCAACAACTGCTCTTTCAACAAGAAAGCATTGCTCTGTGGCATGAACAGTCAAATGGTAGAGGTGATCTCGTACAGTTTGCCAGACAAAGGAAACACGATCTCTTTAGGATGGAAGGAGAAAAAAAATGGGGTTAAAACAAAAGAGAACCACTTCTTCATTCAGGTTTTGCTGAAGTAATCAAAGGATGGAAGAAATGTGAATCCCTGCAGTTTAAAAAAGTACAGAGGTGCTCCGTAAAAGTCCTCTTGACTGGAGAGTTTTTATTTTTGTTCATAGATGCAAGAGCCACTGGATATGTCAGCTTATCCTGCCAATCGTAATGGTCCTCAAGAAGTTGTAAGCTGCCTTCTTAAACTACTGCAGTCCATTTGGTATAAGTAAATCTATTTTGCTGCTAGGGAATTCCAGGATTTTCAACTATAGATGGTGAGGAAAAAGCAATACAGTTCCAAGTCGGGAAGGTGCGTTGTTTACAGGGGAACTTTGCAGGTGGTGACATACTAATGCATTGGCAACCGTTGTCTTTCTTGGTGTTAGAAATCATGGGTATGGAAAATGTTGTCAAAGGGGCCTTGGTGAGTTGCTGCATCGCTTCTTGTAGATCAGGCTTGTCTAGCAGGCAGCCTCTGGGTCCCAATGCTGGCCGCCAAGGCACCCAATGTGACTCACCAAGATGTTGTGCAAACTACAGGCAAGTATAACTGGGAGATTTTGAAAAGGAGATACACACACTTAGTGAGCCTATAAGCAGCAAACATGGGAGAGGAATATACTAGTTGAAGGAGCAGTGCAAAATGAGTGGTTTCAGTCAACCTGAAGCATGGACCTTTAGTAGTGAATCTGAAGGCCAGGGATTCAGAGGATTTTCTTGGTTTAAGGAGGAGGGTAATGAAAGTGGAATCACTGGGCATGGTGAAAGAGAATCAGATAGTCAGGTTGCTGCACAGCCAGTTTCACAGGGGAAAGCAGAGAGGACCGACACACTTGGGCCCGATGTTAATTGTCAAATGTCATAGGCCCAAGTGACTGACAGATAAGACTGCACCAGATACACACCCACTCTATCCATCTTTCTCCTAGCTCCACAACGAAAGCTGCAAGAGGAAAACCTAGTTTGGAAGGCAATCCATTTTCATATGAATTTAACCAAGGTCAGCCTGGAGTGTGAACTAACCAGAGACAAACCAAGGTCAGTGTTAGTTAAACAGAATTCTTCAGCTTGACTCAGTCATACAGCATGGAAACAGACCCTTCGGTCCAACTCATCCACACCAACTAGACATCTTGATCTGACCTTTGCCAGCATTTGGCCCATATCCCTCTAAACCCTTCCTATTCGTATACCCATCCAGATGCCTTTTAAATGTTATAATTGTTCCCACCTCTACCACTTCCTCTAGTAGCTTGTTCCATACATGCAGCACCCTCTGCGTGAAAAAGTTACCCCTCAGGCCCTATTTAAGTCTTTCCCCTCTCACTTTAAACTTATGTCCTTACCCCCTTCTTTAGTGATCGGGACTTTGGCCACAGACTTTTTTCTCTCTAACTCTGCTTCTTTACCAAAAAGACAAAGAAGTTTTTATTAGCTAGTTCTCCTGCTTGGCACTATTTAATGGTAATTTTTATTAATTACTGACTTAAATATCAGTTTATTGGCCTGGACTTCTTTTCTGCAGCTTTACTTACTGTTGTAGAAAATTTTATCTTTCTGAAATTAATTGAATGAGAGAAAAAAGCCAACGCGCCCCCTCATGTAAAGTTTGACTATGGTACACATTGCTGCTTCTGTACTATGTTGGAGGGAGTGAATGTTTAAGATGGTGGATGTGGTGCCAGTCGAGCGGATTGCTTTGACTTGGATGGTATTGTTGGACCTGCACGAGTCCAGCCAAATGCACAGTACTACACCACAGTCCTAATTTCTATCCTGTGGAAGGTAAACAGGCTTTAAGGAGTCAGGTGGTGAGTTACTCAATGCAGTATTCTTAGTCTCTGATCTGCTCTTATAGCCATATGTGGCTGGTCTAATTCACTTTCTGGACAATGGTCACAGAATCACTGACCTGTTATGCTTTATGAGGAAACTTTCCGGTCCATTGTGTCTGCTTACTGCAGTATCCAAAGCCTCGAGCCTTTTCTTGATATCATGTGGAGTGAATCAAATAGGCTCAAGATTGGCATCAATGATGCTGGTGTCTTCAGAAGGAGGCCAAGACAGCTCATCCACTTGGCATTTGCAGATGAAGGTTTCTAGCACCCAGATGTTCACCAATTGGCAACATTAGACGATAACTTAGATCCACACATGCAAAGCATTTGAGAATCCCAAAACCCAGAAGACAATTCTCACCATCTTTCTACCAGCCTAAATGTCCTTCAAAAGCTAGGGTAAAGGATAAACTATGGTGTGATGACCGGGAACCCTGGCACTAACATGGCCTCTTTCTGTGACATTACTTTACCATGGTTCTAACCACATGTTGTGCCAAAGAGGGGAAGCTGCTGAACCTAGCCTATCATGTAATCAACCAGTTAGGAAAGAGAACTTAAAAGTAATCTTATTTTTCATAGATGTCACTATGTTACTCATCTCCTGGAAAACTAGAACACAACATTTTTAAAAAAAACTCTCGGGTTAGATACAACTGGATACAATGTCTTACTAGTCTGAAGATTCCTACACAGAAGCCCGATACTTTGTTCCAAACTTGAAACTCCAAGTGGATTCAAGAAGCATAAGAAAGCAAAGCAACAGAATTGTACTGTAAGAAATCATGTACAAACAGTAAGCTGCTGCATCACCAGCTTTCTGTAACATATTGACCCCATTTTCAATTAGATACTCAACAGGGGAAGGCCCACAATATGGTTGCTTCATTAAATCTTGACAATGCTAAACAAGGAATTACAAAGGACAAAATAAATTAAGCATTGCTTACCACCTTCTCAAACATTAAATATAGCTTTAACAATTGGACCTGCAAGTTGTGGTAAATGACTCTCAAACAACATGTTCCTGTTAAAAAGAAAGCATCTTATTATCTTAATAAGGATTCTGGTGATATATTTCATCATCTCCAGATGAATTACCTAAAGTAAATTATAAAATGCAAATTTCAGAATTGCAGACAGTTTCTTGGGTGTTTCTAGAAATCTGTTTTTTCTACACTTCATTGAGGAGTACATATTAAATTAGAAGAACTTCTACAGATCAGCTGAACTCAAGTGATGGGCTGTTAGCTGACAAAGTATATGCTAATAGTTGCCAATTTCATCCTGGAAATAAGGGAAAACTTGTCTGGAAGAGTTGGCGAGATACTGTCATAATCTCCCAACACGCCCACAACAAGAAACACCCAAAAAAAGGGACGGACTATTTTCCACTATATGCTACACTTGACAATAAATCTGATTTGCATTCAGCTTCTGAGATTAATCACAGATTTACAAGCTTGAAATGAGCCAGCTGCTTCCCAATTACCTGTTTTCCAGCACTATCCTCAGCAGCATCTCTAAGCAAAATGCAGCGTCTTCTTCATCATAGGTCTCCTCATCCGGTGTCACAGAAATGAGAGCCTGAAGGAATTCCAGGTTAGAGAAACAAATTTTAACATGGAGCAGGGGCAAGATAAAGCTCTTCAAATCTAAACAAGCCTATAAATTTCCAAAGAAGAAATATTAAAATTAAACTAATGTCACATCATGAATGCAACATGACCAACCCTGCAATTTTATTAAAATATAAATGATTGCTCAGTGTGACAGATTGGTGTACCCCTGTATTGTGTGTCAATTATACATCCTAAACTGGTGAAATAATAGAGTTTAACTCCTTACCAAATTCTTGCAACACGTCCTCCAACAAAATTCATCAACCTTTGTGACAAATAAGTAATTACCTGGATTTGCCTCATTACAATCATCTTAATGGGACAGGATACATTAGCAGCTAAACAAACTGACCACACTTAAGACCCAAGATCATTGTGAAACATTTGTGTGCTGTTTATAAAATACCTTCATCAATTCTTGAAGAGACTCGAGCTGAAGAAATTTACTCTCCGTAATCAACTTTTCAGGGTCACATTGCTAAAATGAAAAAGTCAAGTCAGATAGCTGAAAATTGTAAGATCGGCTGTCTTGAGTTGTCACTCAATAAAACAAAGAACTATCAGTACTAGAAATCTTAAACAAAAGCAGAAATTGCTGAAAAAAAAAACTCAGCGAGTTTGGCACCTTCTATGGAGGGAAAATACCATTAAAGGTTTGAATCCAGTGACCCTTCTTAAGAATTCTGTTTTCTGTCCACAGATACTGCCAGAACGGCCGAATTTCTCCAGAAATTTCAATTTTTGTGACTAATTGTCACTCATCTGAGTAGCATTCCATGTGATGCCAAACATACATTCAGCCAACAAATACATATTGCTTTGACATGAAGTCAAATAATATGAAATTGCTTGCAAAGTACTCATATTTCATGAATATTTCGAGCTTTTTGGGAAAAAGCTCAGGATACAAATTAGATTTTTAACAAATGTCTATGAAAAAATGATTTTACAGAATTTATGGAAGGAGATAGTAAATTGAAATAAGTCTTAAGTTCGGTAGAGCAACTACAAGCGAGTGCATTGTCATTATATTATAATGATTTTGAAGGTTTTGTCTGGTGGCTCATCTAACACCTTTGGATGGGGAAGTTAAAGTTGGGTCTGTCGATTCTGTAGGAGGACAGAAGGAGACAGACTGTTGGAAGATGAAGTGCTGCTGTAATTGTTGATTTGCAGCACAGTTAAAAAGTTAGAGCGGCCCTACGGTCTGGTAAAACTACGGTGACTTTATCTTTATTAAAGACACACATTGTTGCATTTACATAATGGTGTTTGGGATCTTTGCCTGGTGCAATCTCAAGATTCCATTACTCAGAGCATGCGTGGATCTTCCCAAGATGGAACATTTTTAAGAACCCACATGGTGATATTTACATAATTTAATTTCAAAATCTGCCATTGATGTGTGGTCACCTCGTCCCTTCATTATTGCATGTAAACACGTACTAGGAAGATAAGAGAACCATTTCAGTTCTTCTTAAACTCTAATAATAAGGATATACTCAGAATAAAATATGTTGATCCTTGCCTAACCTATTAAAAGATGCTGAAAGATCGTTAAAAATTAATGTGAGAAAGCAAGTAGAAATCACAAATGGAATAATGCGGCAAGTCTGGGCTGATGAACCAATGATTAGAAAGTGCCATTTTCCTACACTCATACCATAGCTTTCAATGATGGTTAAGCTGCATTTAATGTATTAGAAACTATAAAAATCCACCAAATATAAACCATCTTCCAAGTTAAAAATCTTCTAGGGCAGTGAAGCAGCATTAAGTAAATTTACCTTAATGCATTCCAGTGCTGCTTGTTTGGCCTCTTCATTCTCTATAGATGGTCCCCTTAGGCTGGATTGCTCATTACCACTTAATGTAAGCCAACTAACAAAGCTAAGGACTGTGGACTCTCCGCTGCAATCCAAAAGAAAACATATTAGCCACTGAGAATTCTGAAAATCATTTTTATTGCCTAAAGACTATACAAAAATTGTAGGAGAAATTTCAAAATCATTTAAGCTATTAAATGGTGCTGTCCAGCTTTGTTGAAAAAGCCCCCATTTCTGAAGAAGGGTCCCAACCCGAAACGTCAACTTTCCTGCTCCTCTGATGCTGCCTGGCCTGCGTGTTCCTCCAGCTCCACACTGTGTTATGTTGAAAATATGGTCAGCTTTAGTATGTAGTATTTCAAATCATACTCTAAATAACTCAAAACTTGTGTTTAATGATGCAGCTTTTTAAAAAAAACCTTGCCCAACAACAAAGGAGGGCAGCACAAAGCACTTAGTATCAGATCCATATATTTTACAGGACTGATTTTACAACAGTAGCTTTACATAACAAGAATGGAACATAACACATTGAACTATCAACTCTTGATATCATTTAGTACATATCCTGGTTGGCTGTCAGCCAAAAAGTGAAGTTGAGACAGAATATCATGACAAAGCAATGAATAAAGATCATCCTTGGTCCACTTCCATCTGACAACATTAACTGAAACTCTAGGAAACTACCTCAGCCCTCCCACTGCTTCCTCCTCTCCAACACAGATTTCACCACTAACACTCCAGAATTTGAAAATTAAAATTGCCTGGACAACTATCGAGTTGTAATACAAGAGAAGATTCACAAAGGAATTAAGACGACTTTTTTTGTTTAAAGAGAAACATTTGGTTTATTTATTGAAAAAGCATAGCAGGTGAGTAAAAAATCTGGTTGGGTGATTGGAGGCTGCAGGTTCTGCAGTGAAACTCGGTGAACATATCCCCTCAAATAATCAGCAAAACATACTCCATTCCCTCTGTTCCACTGCAATTGCCCTCTTCTTTTCTTGTACGTCAGTGTCTTATCCTCATCTTCCCATGCATATTTTGCTGTCATCCATATTCCTCAACACATTTCTCTCCCACTACCGAGTCAACCCCTCTATCTCCTTACTTTTTCTCCCTCAAGCTCCCTTCTGAGTTTCATTACTTTCTTCCTTACTTGAGCACTACAATGAGTTTCACCTTTCCAGAAGCAATGCAAAGGAACCATCAACTTGCACATTTTCTCCATATCAAACTAAATAAACAGGACAAATAAAAGTCTGAAACAATCATAGCACTGTAACACTGGAATTGAGGGGAGAGGGGATGGTGCTCAGTTGTGATATAGAACGACAATGTTCAAACCTCATCACAACTCTGGTAGTTCATGCAAGCTCTGCCTCCGTAACTTGCAATTCACTCTCTACTGGAGTTGAATGTTTAATCGTTCTTTGTAGGCTATGGCTAATTGCCAAATAACACTGGAAATCTAACATCAAAGTCAAGGACAATTTTAGTCATTCAATGGAGTAAATCCTACCGATTTGAGGGGGTTTCTTCACGCTGGAGAGAGATTTTCCCATTGGGTTCAACAAAGTCTTCAACCTACATGAACAAATTGACTTACAGCATCATAATTAGTCATTCCTATTTAAGTTAAATGACTTAAGAGCAAAGTTTAGAAATGGCTTTAAGCTAAAACTGCCAGCATAATGAAGTAATTACGTAATATAAAACAGGTACAACAGCAATTAAGAGTACTAAAAGATTAAACAGCAATGGAAAGAGTAAAATATTACTTAATATCAAAATGATCAGGTTTTCAAAACAATTAAGACCCTGAAATCCCTGTATCAGATTTTAATGTTATTTCATATCTTAATATGAGAATGTCATACTTGGTTGTTGTCTCTACTTACATTTGGAAAGAACTTTTCATAAGCTTCTAACAGAACCATTTAATAAGAAAATGATTCAAAAATATTGAAAATCAACTACCTGGGAATTGAACAGCAGGTGGCAATGTCACACTGTTACAAGCAACGTTAGACAACAATGATTAGTCTTTATTTATTAAAACACTTCCTTTTTTTTCCCATTTGGTTAGAGTTACTTGGTTATTAATATGTTAATGGGATGTGGACATCACTGGCTTGGCTAGCATTTATTGTCCATCCCTAACTGCCCTTGAGAAAGGATCGACATTTCCAACCCATGGAGGAATAAATAGAAGCATAAACACTCAACAGGTGGAGATACAAGCAAATTAAAATACGTACGCCACATAATGAAGGTTCAGAACTTCAGACAAGTTTGTAAAAAAATGAGAAATCATGCCTTTGCAGATTTCTGAGCTTCATTTTCTAGGGCCATACTGTTTTCTAGGGACATTTACTTTCTAGCTCATCACTCAACATAAATGCCAAACTGTCTTCTCTATTGAAGGTAAGATGTCCTCAAATCTAAATCCATCATCATATATGAACAGAACATGATTACTGGCATGATCTACAACAATGCATTGTCGAGCATCATCCTGATGCTGTCTTTGACAATACCCTGAAATTCATCTCCCTTCAAAGTCAGTGACATTTACAAAGCAGGCGAAGGTCACCAGTTGCACTCAAATATTATTATTACGGAAAATGATTCATCACTTTTTCTTTGAAGATCTTGATTGGCCCTAGAGCTTACAACCTCCATCTACTCAACCAACTTCTCCGCTGCACTGAAGATTTAATATGGGGAATGTGGTCAAACACTTCGTATTGGGCTGATTAATAAGTATAACGTACAATACTAAACTTAAAGCTCACAAATCAAAGCTCATCATAAAATGAAATTTCAGCAGTATCACAAAAATGAAAGACACAGCTTGCACTAAAACTATTCACAATTCCAACCGTCCTGCCTGAATATAAACTGTTGGCCCAGCACTTTCGAGAGGATAATTTTACAAATATGCCAGCCCCACTACAATGGAATTTCACTGAAAGAAACATGTGCTTTTCTATAAGGCTATGATTATTACAATACTGATTACTGTTATATTGAAATCAAACGAAATACAGCAATTTAGAGGTTGAAATGCCTTTTAGTGAAATCTGTTTCTCAAATTATGACCGAGTTTTTGACAAAGGAATTAACTGAGATCTTTGATTCGACAGGCTGAAATAAACAAAAGTCAATTCAAAGCATTTAAAGCTAATTTAGTACTTAGCAAATTTTAAATCATGACAGTCTGTTAATGTATCTGAGATTAATAACGTACTCAAATTTCAACATAGATTAATATAACCAGCATCTTGTATTAACAAAGAACTGAATTTCCAATGTTAAAAGTTTGGGACATCAGATTATAAACCTCCTGATAATCACAAAAGCACAAGTTGGTACTGATATGGCTATAATTTCAGCAACATCAGCCTTTTAACACAGAACTATGATTCTTCTCATTTACATGTTGCCAACCTACATTGCATAAATAATTTCTTCTATATTCCCCACCATAACTGCACAAGAGATTGAACCAGTGCTTTACTGCAGATTAGAGAAAACATTAACAAAAGATATAAAGCAGATATTGGAACTTTACAAGTTAAATTAAAATGATTGCTTCCTGGTGCCAATTCTGTATAGTTTCTTTGTGCAGGTAGTGTGCCCTTCAACTCATCAATAGTGGATGCAAGTACAATACAACATTGAAAAGGCACATAGATAAGTACGTGAATAAGAAATGTTTGGAGGAATATGGACCAAGCACAGGCAGGTTGAGACTAGTTTAATTTGGGATTATGGTTGACATGGACTGGTTGGACCGAAGGGTCTGTATCTGTGCTGTACGTCTCTGTGACTCTAAAAGCAAAGTTAAGTGCTATGAAGGTAATAATACACTGCACAATATCTATTTCTATTTAAACCCGAATAAACTTGCTTTCTGTTAACCAAAAGACGACTAGATCACTATTTGTTAGCAATGCCATTCAGTGTGAGTGCACTTGACGTTGGCTAACACATTGACTGCCTCAGCTAATTTCAATCCAACTTTCCATCCTTGAGGATCTGCAGTATGCCCAACTCAAACTTCAGCAATAGTATTTCATCTTCTCAATATCTGCTTCATCCCCATCCCTTTGGTCTAAAATTTTCCGACCCAAGCAATTCTTCTATTCTCATTCCACATCGTTCCCTCCTATCATGGAACAGTTTTATTCATTTCATGCCTTTTTAATGTTCTTTTCAAAGGCAAAATGAAATAATCTTTGTGCATGCTTGTCACTTCTTTTAGATACTCAACACTGGCATTAAACTCATTAGCCGCCTTTTAATGACAAAGTTAAAGGAGCTGACCTAACCTTTTGTTCCTTTCTTTAATACACTGATCTTGCATAGCATTCAAGTTTAGAATGGAGAAATAAAAACAAGACTAGATCAGATGTCTACTCCAACATACATTACAATTCCTTTTCCACCTCAGTCCTAAATGATCAAGTCCTTATTCTGGGACGCTGTTCTACATTCGCAGCAGAGAAAACAACTGTTCAGTATCTACTCTGTCACGTCCTTCAGAATCCTGCATATTCCAATCAGAGCTCTGAATAATGGTTTCCAAACAAATCAACCAATTTTGGCTCTTTTCGGATGTTGATGGATGTTGTAGTTTATTTGCCGCCTTCACTGCTTAAGCTTTCATTTAGCTTTTGTTTGGTATATTTTATTGCCTTCAAGAGATGTTCTGGTGCCCACAAATTCTCACTAACATTTGATGTATAATGTTACAAGACGTTGCAATCATTCTGTTAACTAATTTAATCAGAATGAAAAAATGGTGTCATACAGTACTACTGAAATGATATCACACTGTGCTTTCAGTAGTTAGGAGATAGTTATGCCAGTTATATCAATCTGTAGATGACTGAAAGAATTCCTGGAACTCACCACGAGGAATACTATTTTCAAAAATGAATGCACATTTCTAATTATGAATTTTTATTTTGTTCATTTGCATAGTATGGACATCACTGGCTAATTAGAATTTTGCTTTCCTTTGCTATTATTTTATTTCAATATTTTGGGTGTGATCTAAAATTTATATCAATTTATATCATTTCAGACAAATGTATTTTGAAAGACTTAACATGCATTTGTCCACATATCAAAAGCTATCTTGATTTCTGATATGCATTTCCCATAGGTTAGCATTGATTTCAATTTTTAAAAAAATCACAGCGGCTGCTTATTTTTGTGATAAATGTGTCAATTTTCTTCTCTGCACACAGGCAACAACTATTGATAAGGATTTAACTGATCGACGAGACAAGGAAATGTTTACCTCCACCATGGCTTTGGGCAATAGCTCAGCACGGAAAAGTTGCAGCATTGCATCCACAATGTTCTTCCATCCCTCTCGAAGAATGTCACCATGACGATGAGACAAATTAAACACCGTCTTGGCTGCAAGTTGAGCCTTTGAATTGCTACCAAAAACATTTGGAAGATTTTCCACAGTCTGCAGGAAAAGAGTACAATACAATGGATTAACGGGCTGGTGGACAGCGCAGAAAATGTAGCAGATTTAATCAAAAAGGAGTTGAGGGTTGCAACCCCTGAAAAAAAAATTAAAATTCAGTTAGCACAGCATTAGTTTCAATTAGATTTTGAGTGACACACACAAGAAGAGTAACATGAGCAATGTGGGCTGCAGAGAGACAGAAGAACAGAAACTTTGGGCAAAATGAAAGGAGAAGCTTGCATGAGGCTAATGAGGAGAAGCGAGATTTCACTATATTCTCAAATTGACCATCACTTTTCATCAGCAGGTCCATTAAGTGAGACAGCATAAAGCAATGTTCGCTGTTCTATCAAACTAGATGTTATTCGAAACTCAAGAGGGGGGACAATATCGACTGTGAGCTGCTGAAATTAGGTTAGAATGTTAACGTTGAAGTCATGTGTGTTTAGGCCAATTCGAATATCAAGTGAATGATCTACCAAAAACTGGAAGATATCTGCATAACAATGCATTATAAGATGTCTAATTGTAATAAGTTTGTTCAAAACATACACCTTCTCCTTAATTACTCAATTCAAAAATTTAATTATCTTATTTATGCACCAAGTCCCCTTGGCACAGGCTATTTATGATAATTAGTTTTTTTTTTATTAAAATTGCAAGAATTTTGTTTTATCAGTTGACTTATGATTTTCAATTGTTCATTTTAACTTCCACGTTACATTTGTAGATCATGTCAATATCCAGTTCAATGCTCACAGCACTAATGCTAATAAGTCTGCAATCAGATATATACCATGTTAAAACCTCATTAAATAGAAGTAATTTATTTGGATGTTCAAAAGTTCCTCATCATGAAATACAGCCGTGGTATTCTGCGTACAACATTAATTAATTCTGCACTTTCCTGAAGATTGCTTTCCTACATAAACTTATTTGCTTACTTTTTCTTGACATTTTTGAAAGCAAATTCAATAAAAATTTGCAGAAAAATCTTTCAAGGTTTAAACTCATAATACTGCAGATTAATTTTTCCAAAGAATCTTGATAATCCAATTCAAGACTGTAATTTCCACACTTAAGTAAGGAAGATTCAAACTGACTACACAAACATTTAGCAATACAAAAATAATTTAAATGATTACAACTTTAAGATGCACCTCTCAGTAATACTGTATCTAAATATTGCCAAAGTTCATAATTTTTTTAGGATTAATATATTTACATACTTCACAGTCTCCATTAGACAATTAAATTTGGGGGAAGAATATTGAGCCATTGAAGGCTTGTGGCAAAAGCAATAAGGCAAAAGTTGTTTCTATATTGTCATATAAGCCTGTTTCAAACAGCCCACCACCTCTCCTGTTAATCTCTTTGCTAAAGATACACCAAAACAGCTAAAGTCAAAGGCAATTATAAGGCGACGTTAATGTCAAATAACCACAGTTCATTGGTTACAAGTCAATAATGTGGTTCCTGGTGTTAGTTATGATTAAGCAGAAAAGCTATCGTTGAAACAGACAAAATGTTGAAAATAGGTTGCTGCACTTCATACATTTGTCTTAGAGAACATTTATATTGCTATCTGCATTCTGGGAGTCTGGTGTGTAGAAACTGTTCACCATTCTCTGGTACCCATCAACAAACATTGTTAAGTAATTTTGGCAAATTGATAGTTGAATCGAATGAACATTGGATAGCTTCAAAATCAAATGATTTTATAGCTTTTGTTTAGCTTCTTTTTCATTGTCTGGATCCAGCTAAGATACTTTACCAAAATGTCAGAATAGAACACATTTCACATTCCAAAGTATTGGCTGTGTTTAAAAGATGTTTGGCAATTATACTGCACTATTCCTCACACGGAATAGACCAAAGTGCATCTCTCAAGTATACTGCACTATATAATAAAATTAACTGCCATGAACACCAAACCCCTATCCAGGAAGTAAAAGAGTCAAATGAAGTGAACTTCTTGACCCAAAATTAAACCTTGGATTGAAGTAAATTTCTTCATTACTATTGTTAACAAAACCAGAGCAAATGTTACAGTATTAAATTATCTCAGTAATTTTTAAGAGGAGTCTTAATAGTTGAAAGAATGAAGTATTGTCAAGTACCAACCTCACTGCTAAGAGCTGTAAACTTGCACAGTGAAATTATAAGGTTGTCAAACACATCACTTAATCCATAATGAGCTGAAATCATTGCACATTTTCTGGACATGGGAGAGAGAAAAATAATCACTAAACAGAAACAATGATCAGTCTTTACATTTTAATTCTTAAAATGAATAAACAAATAATGGAGTATGCTTTGTTTACATGTTTAACATTTAGAACATGAAATGATCAAACTTAATTAGCAATGGAGAACAAGATTTAACAATTCTGAACGATCTGGAAATACACAACAACTAAGATAGCAAAATAAGGAAGTTCAAGTAAAATGAAATACTTGTCAGTAAGGCGTTTGGCAACGTTCTGCATGGAAGGCTGGTTAGCAAGGTTTGATCACATGAAATAGAGGAAGAACTAGCCATTTGGATACAAAATTGGCTCAAAGGTAGGAAACAGAGGGTGTACAGGATATTGATTAGGCAACTTTTGGAATATTGCGTTCAATTTGGGTCTACTCACTCGAGGAAAGATGTTGTGAAACTCGAAAGGGTTCAGAAAAGATTTACAAGGATGTTGCCAGGGTTGGAGGGCTAGAGGGAGAGGCTGAATAGGCTGCAGTCATTTTCCCTGGAGTGCCAGAGGCTGAGGGGTGACCTTATAGAAAGTTTATAAGGTCATGAGGGGCATGGATAAGGTGAATAGCCAAGGTCTTTTCCCCAGGATAGGGGAGTCCAAAACAAGAGGGTATAGGTTTAAGGTGAGAGAGGAAAGGTTTAAAAAGGACCTAAGGGGCAACTTTTTCCACAGAGGGTGGTGCGTGTGAGAAAGGAGCTGCCAGAGGAAGTGGTGGAGGCTGGTACAATTACAAAATTTAAAGGGCTTCTGGGATGGGTACATGAACAGGAAGGGTTCAGAGGGATACGGGCCAAATGCGGCAAATAGGACTAGATTAATGCAGAATATATGGTCAGCATGGACAAGTTGGACCAAAGGGTCTATTTCCATGCTGTACATCTCTGACTCTTCGTGATCAGTAGAGTTTCTGATGATGCCAATCTTTTCCAAGCACAATCAAACTCAACAGTG